CGAAGATGTACACGTCGTGGGTGAGCTTGGAAAGGTGGATGAGAGGCGGTGACAGTAAATGATTGAATGACCAAGGTACGTCCATCCTTGTGCCAAATCTCCATAAACTGAATATGCGTACGTCGTTCCAGCCTACAACATTGAACGAAAACAAGAAACGAGTCTTGGGAGGACCACATCGTGCCGATATAGCGATTGCCGGAAGTCAATACCTTGCGTCGATGCAAGGTGGGACGGTGATGACGCTAAACGAAATGTGTAAGTGCTTCTTCGTGCTTAGGGTGTTGAATCACTTAGCAAACCTTCCTATTCTTTTCTTTTCATAGTTTTCGAGGGCAACGAAGCCATCTAACATAACCCACACGTGGACAGGGCGTTTAGCGGATGGCAGGACTTCGTCTTAAGCCTGGGGGACCGATGGCGAGGTGGAAGGGTTTTGGAAGCTGGAGGATGGTGTGTGACCATTTTGCGGACGACGAGACGTCGTCTTGGGGCAGGGAAGGTGCAGGGCATTGTGGAACCGTCAGAAAGACTCGAGGAGCATGACACATCGAAGGCCTTTTTGCAAGTGGGGTAAGCTTAATGCTCGTGTCTTTTGCCGGCACGTCGACAATTCACTTGGAAAGTATCACAGCAGTGACCTTTCCACTCCTCAGGATCATACCCGACTCGCAAACGCGAAATGCCACCTGTCCGTAGCGGATACGTTCATTTCTCCCGATTCCTCGCCCTTCCGGCGGCATTTACGCGTTAGATGTTGATGTTGGGCCTTCGTGTACGCGCGACATTGTTGTGTTGTTCGTCGCTTCCGGTGTTGTTTCGATTTGGAGTAGGCAATAGAGTGAAGTCTATGAAAGAAACTTGCGGAAAAGAGTATATGTACTTACGTTCGCGTAAAACTGCCAAATCTAACACTTAGTCGTTGCTGGACATGTCCGTGTGTGCATCACGTTAGAATTGAAGTTAAAGTCTTCGTGTGCGCGTTATTATTGCTTTGTTCATCTTCTCCAATGTCGTTTCGGTTTGTAGTAGGTAGTAAGACAAAATTTCTGGGTTTGAGTAGGACAAGAAGTGAATTTGGTTCTACATACTCGCGAATTAGAAATGGTGACAGTTCCCTTTCCCTCGACCTGACCGCATTCCTCTACTCCATCGTATACCATCCATCCGTTTCGTAGATGACGGTGTGCGCGACGGAACCGTTGCGGGCGACGACTGTAGAAATTTTGGCTCCAATAAATATCGGCAAGGGAATTAAGTAACGTACTCACAGGTAATAGGTGTCAAGTCTTCAAGATCGAGCTCGCGGTCGTAATCGGAGAACATCTCCGTACGTCCATCTTCAAAGATGTGGGCCGCCCAGCACTGGAAGTAGAAGCGTTCGCCCCCCTGGACGAACCCAAAAACTGTCGAGTGACGTTGACGAGTCCTCGAAGTATGGAGGCCGTTGCTGAAGGATGATTAGTATGCAATATGGGATCAAGGATAAGAACTCACAAGATGACGACCGCCCACTGATGCTCGCCGAAAGAAGTGTCTACGTTGTTCTTGATTTTCCCAATGTTGCACAGAACGCGCTGAATTCTTCGCTGCGCCGGGGCGAGTTGGTAAGGACGTCGG